TTCTGGCGTTGAGGACAATGTTTCTGACGCTGAGGACAAGGTTCCTGGCGCTGAGGACAAGGTTCCTGGCGGTGAAGACAAAGTTCCTGGCGCTGAGGCCAAGGTTACTGGCGGTGAGGACAAGGTTCCTGGCGCTGAGGACAAGGCTCCTGGCATTGAGGAGAAGGTTCTTGACGCTGAGGACAAGGTTCCTGACGCTGAAGATGAGGTTCCTGACGCTGATGAGAAGGTTCCTGTCGCTGAGGACAAGGTTCCTGGCACTGAGGACAACGTTCCTGGCGCTGAGGACAAGGTGCCTGGTGCTGAGAACAAGGGTCCTGGCGATGAGTACGACAAGGTTCCTGACGCTGAGGACAAGGTTCCTGGCGGTGAGGACAAGGTTTCTGGCATTGAGGACAAGGTTCCAGACGCTGAGGACAAGTTCCCTGACGCTGAAGACAAGGTTGCTGACGCTGAGAACAAGGTTTCTGGCGCTGAGTACAAGGCTCCTGGCGCTGAGGACAAGTTTTCTGGCGTTGAGGACAGTGTTCCTGACGCAGAGGACAAGTTTCCTGGCGCTGAGGACAAGGTTACTGACGCTGAGGAAAGGTTCCTGCCGCTGAAGGCAAGGTTCCCGGCGCTGAGGACAAGGTTTCTGATGCTGAGGACAAAGTTCCTGTTGCGAAGGTAAAACCATTAATTTCGTTCATGATTTATTCTATATGCACTCTAGAACAGTATCTCAAATGATTAAATCCTACGACAATATCTGGTAGCTGTTGTTGTTGTTGCTGTTGTTGTTACATATTTTTTTCCAGTGTGCCTAAATGTTTGCAATACATGAAGATACATTCGTTTCCCAATTCCCACAGAGCTGAGTAGAACGTGCAATTTTATCTCTTCAAAAATGGATGTTACTGGCCCAAAAGAAACGACTGCCGGTCATAATTTTTTCTATAATGCCCAGGCCTGCTTTTGCGTTGAACAACATATTTTTATGTATAAGACTGTGTTAAGTAATAACGACCAAGCTTTACCAAAAAATAAATCTCACGTATCAAATCCACAATATTAGATTATTTAATATTTTTATCTCATATGTACCGCTTATAATAATCAGGGGCAGCATTTATAAGCAAGCAAACAAGGTATCGTTTTATATGTATACTTTCTTAGTTACAGTAGCTCAACCAAAGAAATGTCCAGATTATATAAAAATTAAGAGAGGATTTGTGAAAGGATCTGGCGTGATCCCTGGCTCCAAGAGAACGTTTTCGTGTTATAACCACTGGAAATTATCATGATCAAGTGAGACAACGTGTTTAAACAATGGTCAATGGAGTAAACCGCTGCCAACGTGTACATTGAAAGGTAAGAATCTTGTTTAACAAAATTGTTAAATAGGTTGCAATTTAGGGTTAGGTTAGGGCGAGAGCCAATGGTAATCAAAAACACGGATTTAACATCTTTTCCGATATATTTGCCCGAAATATTGTTGAATTTTTCAGCATTTGCTTAAATTTTCTTTGGTTGCTAACCCCCC